CCAAGCTCATGTGAGAGCATGTGTGCCATGCTCAGCATGGTGAGCTCAGCACTGCAGATGTCTCTTCCCAGTTACGTGCCTCGTGCTCAAGAATCCTTTCTGGAAATGATGGAATCGGGTCCAGCTGTATCAGTTACTTAGCCACCCCATTCCCACTTACTCTTTGATATTATATATTTGCAGTAGGATTTGATTTTCTAGATAGCAAATTGTCTTCATTTTTAAAGTTTCAGGCCTTTCACCCTATAAGTAAGGGAAAGTATTGTTAGAAGCTTCAGTGGAGTGGCCATTGGCTGTCAGTCCCTAAATCATAAAACCTGCTGTGAAAGCTCTCTCCATCTTGCTTTGTTTAGTGATGTGGGTGTGCCTTTCCTAATGCTTCATTTACTCTGTCCTTTTTCCTTTTCCTCCTTTATTTGAGACAGAATCTCACTATGTGCCCTGACTTTCCTGGAATTCATTAGGTAGATCAAGCTGACCTCTTCCCTCCTGAGTGCTGGGATTAAAGATGTGTGCCATCATGCCAGGCATCGTCTTCCTTTTTTTTTTTTTTTTTTTTCCAGAAGACAGGGTTTCTCAATGTAACAAAACCCTGGCTGTCCTGGAGCTTTTTGTAGACCAGGCTGTCCTGGAACTCAAAAAGCTCTGCCTGCCTCTGCCTCCTGAGTGCTAGGATTAAAGGTGTGCTCCACCATAGTCATAGTCTCTCCCTCTTTTAATTTTTCTTCTTAACTATATGTTCAGGTATGTATCTCTGTGTGGGTATATACATGCATCAGTGTAGGTGTCTGAGGAGTTCAGAAGCATGGATCTCCTGGAGCTGGAGTTCAGACAGCTAATCTGGGAGCTGGGAACTGAAAGTGAGTCTTCTGTAAGAGCATTTCACACTCTTAACCTCTGAGTCATCGCTCTAGCTCACCTATCTTTTGGAGACAAAGTATTACTTTGCATCCCAGACTTGCTTGGTTCTTACTGTGTCGCCCTGACCTTCTGAGTAGTGATGAGACCATCCATCCAGTCTGGGCAGTCTTCCTGCTTAGCCTTCTGAGTGCTGGGGCTACAGGCATGCTCTGCCCTTCCTGAGTGCTGGGGTTACAGGCATGCTCTGCCATTCCTGAGTGCTGGGGTTACAGGCATGCTCTGCCATTCCTGAGTGCTGGGGTTACAGGCATGTTCTGCCATTCCTGAATGCTGGAATTACAGACATGCTCTGCCATTCCTGAGTGCTGGGGTTACAGGCATGCTCTGCCCTTCCTGGCCCCTGTCTCTTTTGTTCAGGTCCAGATTATCTGAGCAGTTTATTGTCTGATCTTTATTTGTGGCACCCTCTTCCGGGGATTTGGGGATATACAGCAGTAAATAAGACTGAGGTGGGTCCTGCCCCTTGAAGTTTCATTCTTTGTACACAGACAGATAGAAAACACACACAAGTACATAGTGTTGTTTCAGATAAATGTAAGGAGTAAAAAATAGAGGGGTAGAAGATGGCTTGGTTTGGGGGAGAAAGCCAACTTTTATTTGAGCTAATCCCTTATAAGATGAGCAGCCAACAATTGGACCCCTCTTACACGGACTCATTGCCTAAAACACTGAGTGTTAAGAAAATGATTTCTAATTGAGTTTGTCCTTTCCTGCTGGAAGCCTCTCATCGCCTACAGTCATCATGGCTGTTTCAACAATGAGATATTAATCTTTGTTGTCCAGTCTTTTTTCTATCATCATACATTGATAATACCAAAATAAATACTTTTAGACACTATTAAAGTAACGTATACTTAGCATAAATGATTAGAAAAGGTAGAGAAATAAAATGAGAGTAGGTATTTTGCTCCCCCAGTTTTACCATCTAGTCTAGGAAATGGCAAATTATGGACCAACTCTAGCCTACCACCTGTTTTTTTGCTGTTTAACTTTGGGTAGCTTTTATTGAAATCTAGCCTATGGCAAAGAGCATAGATCTGAAGTACTCTCTTGAAGAATGTTTGCAGAATAATATACCTCCCAGACCAGGATGCTTTGGAATGTTGCTGAATTCTGGCATTCCAGAAGCCTCTCTAAGGCTCCTCCTAATGCCATCCACCCCAAAAAGGAACACTTGTTCCAAATTCTGTCACCATAGACTGAATTTTACTTATCTTGGGAACCTGTCTATGGAATCACCGCATATTTACATATTTTTAGTGTTAGACTCCTTACTCCGCAGTGTAGGATCCAGTAAAATGGTTGCAGGCAGCGACCGTTCGTCTTTACCAGGCCCGAACCCCAGCTTTACTCATTGTGGGCTGAACTTGCCTTGCCTTGTTCCCAGTTGAGGCTTTTCTGAAGAAAGCTGTTCTGGACATTTTATCATGCTTTTGGACATTTCTTTGGCGTGAGAGTGTTAAGTCATAAAGTGCATCACAGTCAGGATTTTGCTATACTGCACTGTTTTATAATCAGTTGCCTCTCATTTTTATAGTACTTGGAACTGGCAGATTTTTAAAGTCATGTCTATCAGGCTATAATTTATATTCAATGAAATCTACCCTAAAACAAAACAAAGCAAAAGCCCTTTTAGTCTGGGCCATGCACACCTTTAATCCCAGCATTTGGGAGACAGGGACAGGCAGACCTCTTTGAGTTCAAGGCCAGCCTAATCTATGTAGGATGTTCTAGGACAGCCATGCATTTTTGTATGTGTGCGTGTGAGTGCACACATGTGGGGTCCAGAGAAGGACATCAGGTGTCCTGCTGATCTGTCACTGTGCCTTGTTCCTTTGAGACAGAGTCTCTCACTGACCCTGGAGCAGGGTTTGAGGCCCACAAGACCCAATGACCTTCAGGTCCATTGTGTACACACACACACACACACACACACACACACACACACACACACACACACACACACTGAGGTTAAACAGGTTTTTGGGGTTTGGGTTTTTTCTTTTTCTTTTTTCTTTTTTTTTCTTTTTTTTTTTTTTTGCGGGGGTTGAAACAGGGTTTCCTCTGTGTAGCCCGGCTGTCCTCAAACTTGTTCTGTAGATCAGGCTGGCCTCAAACAGATCCATCTGCCTCTGCCTCCTGAGTACTGGGATTAAAGGCGTGCACTGCTGCCTAGTACACCCAGCTTTTATGTGGGTGCTGAGGGTCTGAACTCAGGTCCTTATACTTGGGCAGCCATTCCCCAGCCCCTCACCCAACTTCCCACAGCTGAGTGGTAGGAATTCTTCGAGCGTTCTAGACACAATTTGTTTGTAGATTTGTGAGTTGTAGGCACATTCCCCTCTGTCTGACACTGCTTTAAAATGATTTGTTGGGGAGACTCAGTGGATAAAGACACTTACCTCCAAGCCTGACGACTTGAGTTTAATACCTGGAACTCACAGTAGAAAGAGAAAATTTACTCCATCAAGTTGTCTTCTGATGTATACACACTTTGTCGTTCTTGGGCATAAGTGTGCACATGAACATACACACACCCTAAATGAACAAATAAATGCAAAACAACAGCAACAAAAAACAAAAAAGAAAGGACACCATTTACTGGACCTAGCTACTCATTTGTGTATTATCTGTGGCTGCTTTTGCACTATATAGAATGGCATATTTATGACAGAGACCCGGTGACCTCCAAAGCCTACAATATTTAGTGTTTGATCTTTTACAAAACAATGTTCAGTGGTTAAGAGCACCGGCTGTTCTTCCAGAAGTCCTGAGTTCAATTCCCAGCAACCAAATGGTGGCTCACAACCATCCACAGTGAGATCTGGTGCCCTCTTCTTGCTTGTAGGCATACATGCAAACAGAATGCTGTATATATAATAAATAAATCTTTAAAAAATGTTGGTTAGGGCTGGAGAGATGGCTCAGAGGTTAAGAGCACCGACTGCTCTTCCAGAGGTCATGAGTTCAATTCCCAGCAACCACATGGTGGCTCACAACCATCTGTAATGAGATCTGGTGCCCTCTTCTGATGTGTAGACATACATGGAGGCAGGGTGTTGTGTTTGTAATAAATAAACAAATCTTAAAATGTTGGTTAATCCGATATTTATGTAATTATGCTAATTTTTCTTATTGCAAAACAAATTATGATGACTTTAATGGCTTAAAAGAATATATATATTAGCTAGGCTTGGTTGCATGTACTTGTAATCCCACTTTGGAGCCAGCCTGGACTACACAGTGTGTGGAGAGGATACTTTTCTTTATCACCTCACATGCTTCCAGTGGTTGAGCTGATGACAGCCTAGCTCGATTCTCTGTACAGGGTTGCATAAAACTGCAATCGAGTTACTGGAGGCTTGATTGCTTTCGGCATCCAGGTTGTTGGCAGAATGTATTTCCTGTGACTGTGAGAAAGACAGCTTCAGTAGCTTTAGTCGCCCCCAGCTGCTTGGAAAGTATGGCCCTCTCTGTGGGAAGTCCACATGTACCAACTAGTTGTTCAGAGCCAAGAGGAGAGCAAGTGTGACTTTGCTAGCAAGATGGATGCTTATTTAGCATTAAGTCCCATGGATTCCATTCCAGCAGTGTCACCACAGTCCTTTGGCTAAAGCAAGGACAGGTCCTGCTCACACTGGCCCAAGGGGCTTATGCCAAGGTAGGCAGGGATCATGAGGGCCACCCTGAGTCTGTCAACCACAGTAACAGTAACATATCAGTGTCTGAGATGACAGTTGTTTTTCTTTTATTTCTGTCATCGAATAGTATTTTAAAGCAAAAACAGGATCATTGTTGAGGTTTACTTTGTAACTGCCTCTATATCATTGTTGTCACAAATAAGACACCTTTACCTTCCTGACCATGGCTGCATTGTGGTACAGTGTGAGAACACAGCTCATTCCTGCTGTTGAACATCAAGGTTACCCCCATTTTAGCAGACTATAATAGACTGTTCCCCAGTGCCATGTCCTCTTGCTGCTTCAACTGTGATTCTCGTGAAGGAGTGGTCTCCAAGTGTCATGTCCCTGAATGTTCTCTTCTCTTCTCTCCTGTTGTCTTGCATGTGTCTGCTTTAGATAAGGAGGCTGACTGCACTATCACCATGGCTGACTCAGACTTGCTGGCTTTGATGACTGGTAAAATGAACCCTCAGTCGGTAAGTACGATGTGGCAGACATTTGTGGGACAATACCATCCTGTGTGTTATAAGTGCCCAATGAACTTGAAGTAGTTCCTACGCTTAGTTTGGTAAGAAACAGATCTGTAAGAGTTAAGTACAGAGGCCAGGGAGATGGTCTGTAAAGTGCATGCCGCACAGACATGAGAACCCACACACCCATGTAAAGAAGTTGGGCATGGCTGTACATGTCTGTAATCTCAGTGCTGGAGAGGCAGAGACACATGAGTCCCTGGAGCTCACAGTGAGAGGGCCTGTCTCAGAAAATAAGGTGGAAAGCAAGTGAAGAAGACACCCAGTGTTGAGCTACACCCTCGGTGTATGTACACACACACACACACACACACACACACACACACACACACACACACACAAACTCACTCATTCATGCACACATCCCAAGCACAGCTGGTAAGGTCCAAGGTGCCATTCCTGGCTGGTGGTCAGCCCACGTGGAAGAAGGGATGGCCTCAGGAAAGGCGTAGCATACAAAGAGTGAGGCTCGGTGGTAGAAGGAGCACTTGAGGGAGGAAGAGGTGGTAGTGGACACACACAGTACATCCTGTATTCCTCTTGATGTCCAAGCTTTCCTCTATGCCTGAACTCCTTCCCTGACAGACTTGACTTTTCAAATCAGCTCAAGAACAGTCTTGAGTTTTTGAGTACAGTCCCCCTGGCTGAGCTTGCCCTTGTCCTGAGTCTGTCTCATCCCCATTAGATCAGAAGACAGACATCTTATGTTCTTGGTGGTTCTACAGCAGTACAGTGCCTGATGGTTTTAGGTTGCTATAAACAGTTGATAGATTAAAAAGTGTATTTATCTAAAATGGCCTTATATAGTTATTCCTGGTCCCCAAGTTGACAAGGAATCCTTCTTTATCAACAGGGTTGAGAGGACTAGATACATCAAGCCTTCCAATAGCAGAAAAGAAACCCAAGACCTTTCCCTCTACTCTAAAGCTGTTGTAGATCTTGTTTCTAGTATTCCCAAGTAATTCAAGACTGGACCAAACTAAATCTGACGCCCATGCCTCTTCCTTTTGAAATGGGTTTCTTAGCAACTGAGTATGTCTCAGTAATGCCATGACTGTACAGTGTGCATCTGTGATATTTCAATGTAGCACTCACCCTGGTGCTGACATCACCGCCCACAGTCCACTCCATAAACCTGGATGGGACAGAGGCCACCAGCACAGGAGCTGGCTGTCATACCCTTCCCAGTTTCTGTGCCCATTCTGTGCACACCACACAGCTCTGGCAAAGGTTCGCCTTTCATGTACCGTGCTGGGCTCAGCAGAGGTTTGCCCTTCACACATCCGCTTTCCTCGTTCTCCTGTAGTTTATCTGTGTACAAGCATTGTGGGGGGCATGGTATCAGCTTGTTTTTCTTCAGCACCTGTTAACACCCAGAGGAACTGCAGATTAAAGTAGCAGCCCTGTCTGTCACTGTGCTGATGGCCTTTCCTTATGCTCAGTAGAGGAGTTGACTGGGAACCATTAAATGCAGTGGAAATTCTACTTTCAGGGTTTGGCTGCAGTTGAACCAAAGCAGTGATCTAGCCAGCAGAAAAGCACAGACAAAGAGTACCTAGGGGCCAGATTAACACAGTCCTCACGCTTGGATTCTCAGTGGATGACACTAATGCTTTCTCCATTATTTTCTCCCAAGGCTTTAAAAGGAGAAGGTGGTGCATTTCTGTAGTACAGCTGGTTTGTATTTTTAAATAGCATATGTTAAATCTATTGTGTTCTGAGACACCTGACCTTTCAGTCATCAGACAGAAGGCGTTGTGCCATATAAAAAGGAAATATTTAGTTTGTCCCTACTGGGGGAAAGAGAGTGTTAGTGATCCCTACCAGGGTGTGGAAAAACCCAGCCAGGCTGTGTGCTTCTGAAATTCCCAGAGTCCTTTCTCAGCCAGCGCTTGTTCTTGCTGCAGACTAAGTTAAAACACTAAAGTCATAGCAGGAATCATGCTATAGTCCTCATTTTGCTACTTCTGAGTCTCCCTGGGATTTTGTTACACAGTTAGTTTAGCAAATGTCATGTGATCTAATCCCCAGCCTTGTTAAATGGAAGTTTGTGGCTTTGCCCTTCTGAGTGGCTGAAGCTTCTCACTGGGGGTGGGGGGATAGGGGTTATCCTCTGCAGGGACCAGCCCTTCAGGGAGAGCTGACCAGAACAGAGCCAATGATGGAGTTTCAACCATCCACTGAATTCTGGGACTTTCTAAGTGGGCTTTGAGTGTGCTTTCTCTCTTCATAACCTGTTATAATTTCATATTTTAAGCCCATATGTGATATTTTAAAGGAAATTCATCTAATGTTGATCTATTTTGTCTGGCATTTGAACAAGGTATACTACATTTGAGATAAAGAGCCCCAACTTTTAAGAGAAGGGAGTTTGGGGATTCTGCTCCCTCCTTCCCTTTACATAAAGCATGGCTGTTGGGAATTCTTCCTGTCAAGGGATCTTGTTCTAAATCTGTACTAGAAAGCTAAGGTTTGTATTTTGCAGAAAGCTAAGGACCTGAATAGATGATCTAATGCCTGAATAGTCTAGAAACGCTAGCAAATGTTAAACAAAATCCACCAACTAATGAATTTATTTATTTATTTCTATTATTCACAGGCCTTCTTTCAAGGTAAATTGAAAATTGCTGGTAACATGGGTCTGGCGATGAAACTGCAAAGCCTCCAGCTTCAGCCTGGCAAAGCTAAGCTGTGAAGATCTCCATCTGGAAACCTCAGCGTCAGGATGAGATGCATAGATATGTAGATAACCAAGGCTCCTTCTCCTTTCCCGATTAGCCTGAGGCAGATTTGTTGCTATGTGGGTGCAGCCAATGGTGGTGTTTCTCCTGAGCTGGGGGTGATAGGGCCTCACTGCTGCTGCTTTGAAGACTTGCATGCAACTGTGCATGACAAGGCTACTATGGCAGTGAGGGTTGGGGATAAATTTGAGTTTCAGAATAAAACTCAGAACAGTAAAATCTAACGATTGTAAACAAAGCTCTTGTTTTGCTTAGAAGTATATTTAAGGATCAATGTGTGGAACACTTGGAGTGAGAGGTCCCCTTGGGGACCAGAGAAGAAACAGACTTCCATAGTTGACCAGGAGTCAGTGTCTCACTTTTAATTACCTACATCAAGTTCTTACTAATACTTCTTAAAATTCTGCACTAAGTTTAAAAAAAAAAAAACAACAACTTTGAAAATGTGCATTTCATGCCATCTGAAACAGTTCTTTTCTCCCCAAATAAAATACAAGAATTATGGCCTGAGCTTAGGAGGGAATTTACAGCTGAACAGAGCTGTTTTTAAAGTACTTTTGAATTGGCATCCTTAAAAAATCAGGGTATTAGAGCGATTGGATGCAATCACTAAAAATAATCGAATAAAGTTTTCTTCCAGAGGCACAGGTTTCAAATTATAACTTCACATTAATAAATTCATAAACTAAGTCTCACAATTTTCCTTTTTCATACATTTGATTGTCTGCTGTATCATCTCTTCTAGTTTTTCTGATTCTAATGCCTTGTTACAACTTAGGTTTGGATGATGCTTTTGGAAGATTTAAAAAGAAAATTAAAATAGCTCTTCCTATCTCCTTTGTTTGTGTTGAGTATGTTCCTTTTACCCGGTGTTCTCTAGTCTGTAGAGCAAAGAAAACACTGGGGCCTTAGAGCCCAGATGTTACCCGAGCAGGGCCTCCTGTGCTTTCACAGTTGCTAGTTCTTGACTGGAGAGGTGGTGTGTGTGGGAAGAACCCTTGACTGACACTCTGCCTCTCATAAGCAAGTAAGTAACTTGCCCGGGCCCTGGCCCCTGAGTTGTTAGAAAGGAGTAGCAGTCTGCTACTATGCTAGTCTTCTCACTGGGAATTTAGTGTCCCTGGATTGATGACTGCTTTTTGGGGAGGGGGTTTGAGACAAAGTCTTATGTAATTTTGGCTAGCCTGAACTCTCCTCATAGTCCACATAGGTCTGGAACTTGTGGTAATCCTTCTGCCTCCTAAGTGTTGGGATCACAGGTGTTTGACACCATGCCCGCTGTAGGCCCAGCTTTTGTTGACCTTTACCGGGGGTGAGGGGGCCAGAGGTAAAAAGTCAGGTTGTTTGATTCATTCTAAGTATTCGTGGTCCTTGTTGGTGTGGCCAGGACTTGCTTAGGTCCTTGAGACCATTAGCTTTCTGTGTTCTGTGACCAAAAGGGCATTTGCTGATAGTGCCTAAGGATAAATTAAACCAGGAAAGGTTGGCCTCCAGTCCCACAAATGGATTCAAGGAGTAGACCCACTTCCTAACCAGAGTGGCTTCTTAACTTTGAGAAGACCAAGAAGTAAAATGCCTGATCTCTCTGTAGTTTACACTTGTTGCTCCCTTCTGTCCCCTCTGACCCTCGATAACAAGAGATTCTAGAAATAGGCTTTAGGATGACCCTATGAAAACAGAAGGCACTACCTATAAACAGTACAGTGCAATCTCCGGAGACGCTGGTGAGCTCTTCCCCTGTGTTGCTTTCAGTCCAGTCGGGGGAGAAAATCAAAGAGATGAATAATTATTATAGACTGTGAAATGCTGGGTAGCAAGCTCTTGTGGGTGACCCTGCTTGGATACCCCTTGGGGGAGAAGGTGAGAAGACTTAGCACCAATGACTCAGGCACTGGGAGTCAGTGAATACAGAGTGTACTGCAGATTCCTTTATTAAGGAAGTCAGACCCGCCTTTATACCCCCTCCCAAGCTCCTATTGGCTCACGGCTGACTCTGTTGCATTGTCCTTTCCTCAATGGTGTCTCTGGGTCGGGTGTCTCCATATGTTGTTAATTATGGAACCAGGGCCAGCGCGATGGACGGAGCACAAGCCATGGAGAGTATATTAATCAGTTTATTATAGGGAGACTGAAAGGGGGAGGCAGACGTGACAGAGAGAGGGAGGAAAATGAGAGAGAACAGATGATGAGATAGAGAAGATGAGCTGATGAGAGGGGATGAGAGAGAGAAAGTAAGAGAGAGAGTAAGGGAAGATGAGAGAGAAGAGATGAGTAAGGGAAGATGAGAGAGAAGAGATGAGAGGTGAGAGAGCGTAAGTGGCCGGGGTCTGTCCTTTAAAGGGGTCCTTTGCACCTGGTGCAGACTGGTTCTCATGGAACTCTGGGCTGGCCAGAGAACTGCCTGAGTGAATCCTGCCAGGTAGCAGGGCAGGCCAGCGTAATGCCTGAACCTTTCATTCCTATATTTATTTATGATTAAAAAGAGGTGTGGGTGTTAGGTGTGGCAGGTTAGGGAATAAGGACACTTGAGTTCTTAAGACTGCTTCCTGCTGACATGGGGCCATCAACCATCTTTGGGGGACCCGAGAAAGCTGGGGTGTTGTCACGTCCTGGAGTAGCTGGTTGTTCCATCGCAGTCCAGGCTGTATGGAACTCTCTGGCGCCTCTGTAGAACTGGCAAGATGTTAGCAGACTAGAGGACAAAGTTAAGTTAAATTTTTTTTTCTTAGGTCCTGGTATTTGAGGGGAAGATTGTAAAATGAGGGTGGGTTTCCCAAGGGGTCCCAAAATGAGGGAGGGGAGTCCCAGGACCAGGGAGCAGTTGAATAATATCTGGAGTGAATCTGACCTGTTTGGATGGGTCCAATTAGGCTCCCTGGAACTTACAGGAATCCTTTGAGTTTGTGAAAACACAAGTATTAGACATATCAGCAGCATATTTGTGTTAGAAACGACTTGGCTGAAGGTATTAGCAGTTTTTAAATTGACAGATTTTTTTTTTTTGGTTTTTTACGAGACAGGGTTTCTCTGTATTGCTTTGGAGGCTATCGGTCCAGCCCAGCCTCGAACTCACAGAGGACAGATATTTTTAGCACAATGAAAAGTACCTTAATTTTGAGCTTATAGTTTTGATAGTACAGTGGTATAGATGTTTTTTAGCATAATAAAAAAGTACCTTAATCTTGACCTTGCAGTTATAATTGTATAGTGGTCTATTAAGACAATGAACAGTAGTATAATGAAAGAGAGAAAGCTAGAACATATTTTATTCTTTTTAATATCTCAACTCACTTTATTATATTATCATCTTATGTAGATAAACCTTAGAATACCTGTTTCTGAAATCAGTAGTCTCTGAGTATAGATGCAGGTTTGGCTCAGGGAGGAAGTGCTTGCTGCCTCTATACTCATGTGGGTTGGCCTGGGCACCTGCGGCTTGGGTAGGCTGGTCAGCAGTTTCTCCTACAGCAAGCAGTCAGGGCGCCATGATAGAGGGCTGCAGATATCTGTGAGAAATAATTTTTAAGCTGAGAACGGACGGCTAAGGAGGATAGAACTAAGTAAAGAATGTTGAGTTGAAAGGTGGCTTGCTCTAAAACTTGCACATGAGAAGACCACAGTGAGTGGAAGGACAGGCCCAGGATGAGTGCCACAGGGGACAAGTGGACTGGGAGTCTCTTACCGTAGGCCTGGTTCATTCGGCAAGGCGTTCGTAAGGTGCGGCATTCCTAGTGCAGCCGCTGGGAGCTGAAGACAGGGCTTGTCACTCTGCTGCTGTCCACCTTGCCGTCATGACATAGGAAGCTTTTGGTCACACGCCTTTGTTCAAAGAAAGTCATGTGCACAAAAGGGCTGAATTTAAAGTTGCAGGAATGGGTGATATTACTTGGAACTGAGGAATAGGGTTTGGGTTAGCCTTGGGTAAACCAGAGGTCAGGTAGTAGGAGAGAGGTAGATGGAAAACTCCAGAAGAGAGCACAGCCAAAATTGGGCAGAGTCAGTGAGGTCAAATAGTTTGATGTCTGACAGAATTTGGCAACATGGAAATCATTGGTGACCAAAACAAAATTGGTTCAGTGGCATAGTAGGGATGAAGGCTGGACTGGAATTGGTTTTGTAAAATTCAATGACATAAGATGAGAGTTCTCTTGGGAAGTAGGAAGCTTGGTTTCTAAGAAGTCATACTGAGCAGGCACAGTTTGATCATATTGAAGTCCAACCCAGGTAGTATACATGCTACTCTCTGTGTCACCCCTGGTCACTCATACACACTTTGAAAACTCGGATTTCATCCTTCAGGAAGTTGTCCCCATGAGTCACAAAAGGAAAGTATTCACTCTGCCACAGTAATATGTTCCTGTCTCCCACCAGAGGGCTCATTAGGGGCAAAATCTGCTTCTCGTGCATCTAGTTTGATGCCTCCTAACCCCAGTCTTGATTGCCATTGATTGAATGGATGGAAGAAAGAAAAGGAAGGAAGGAAGGAAGGAAGGAAGGAAGGAAGGAAGGAAGGAAGGAAGGAAGGAGGGAGGGAAGCTAGCTTACCAACAGTTTCAACAGAAGGGCATGTCTGAGGATGGGAACCTAGTCACAGAATTGTAGTCTGTTAAAATAGACCGTCTGTCTGCTACCCTAATGATGAAAGAAAGGATTAGGAATTCTTCCTTAGCCCGACTTGTCCCGATCTTTCTTTGAGGACATTTGAAATCTCTCCTAAGCCTTTCAACTAAAAACAGAAGCCTGAAGTAAATCACAAGAGAGTTCATTAGTTCTTTGTCGATGCATTCATTTATTAACCCTGCTGTTTCCTCCAGATGACTCTGCATCCGATAAGCAGAGGAGTAATGGGAAGCCTGGGTAGGAGGCCTGTGGAGGCAGAGAGGCCTCTGGCCTGAGACAACAGTACCTGACCATCTCTGCCTTCTGTAAGCCAAATTGCATGGCAGTTATTTGTTTTTAAGACCAGTTTAAAAAAACAAAAACTTGGCCAGATGGTGGTGGCACACACCTTTAATCCCAGCACTCCGGAGGCAGAGGAAGGCAGATCTCTGTGAGTTTGAGACCAGCCTGGTCCGATAAGCATAAGTATTCTGGTTTCCCCTGTGTATGTCACCTTGAGGAAATAAAACAGGAACTTAAAGCCTATAGCGCAGGGTGTTCTCTTCTGAGACTTGCAGACAACGAGACATTTAGAGGAGCTTGGTATTGTGGGAAACTTAGGGGTCTGTCAGGTGTGTGGCTTGGTCCTCACTGTGGTAAACAACTTCGTGACCTTGAGCTAATAGTAAGTGAAGGACCAGCTTGTTTGACCTTCTGTAAGAAGGGAGAAGGAGTAGAGTGGTTAAGAGCGCTTGCCGTTCTGAGCTCAGTCCCCAGTACCTACGTCTGGTGACTTGCGGCTGCCTGTACTCCAGCTGCAAAGGATCTGACACTCTTCTGGCCCCTTAGGGGATCTGCACACATGTGGCATTCACTCACATACACATACATGCACGAATAAAAACAGTAATACATCTTTTCTAGAAAAAGCCGAGGGGCTGGAAAGATGGCTCAACCATTAAGAGTACGTGTTGAAACCAGGTGGTGGTGGCACACACCTTTAATCCCAGCACTCGGGAAGCAGAGACAGGAAGAAGATCTATGTGAGTTGGCAGCTACACAGAGAAACCCTGTCTCCGGTGGGGGATGGGGGTGGTAAAGAGTACTTGTTGCTCTTGCAGAAGACCTGGCTCAGAGCCATCCTTAACTCCAGTTGTAGGGAATCTAACGCCCTCTTTGCAGGCACCGGGGCACACATGGTTCATATGTATAAGTGTAGGCACACACACACAC